CCTCACTGACACACACGAACAACTAACTTGTTAATAAGTAAAACTGTAAATCTTTGGGTTAGGAACTTATCTGTAGGTTAACTTCAACTTAACCTCACTGACACACACGAACAACTAACTTGTTAATAAGTAAAACTGTAAATCTTTGGGTTAGGAACTTATCTGTAGGTTAATTCAAATTAACTTCACTGACACACACACACAGAGGAAACAACAAACTTGTTGATAAGTAAAACTGTACATCTTTGGGTTAGGAACTTATTTGCCGGTTAACTTAATTTTACCTCACTGAGACATGCACACAAAAAACAAGAACAACAAACTTGTTAATAAGTAAAACTGTATATCATTGGGTTAGGTACTTAGTTGTAAGTTAACTTCAAATTAACCTCACTGACACACACACACACACACACATAGAAAACAACAACAATAAACTTGTTAATAAGTAAAACTGTAAATCATTGGCTTAGGAACTTATGTAGGTTAATTTTAATTTTACGTTACTGTCACACACACAAACACACAAAACAACAACAACATACTTTATTTCACTGTATATAACTTAGTGGTGGATTAATTTAAACTTCACCCAACTGACAAATATATTTGTTAGTAAGTGTATTACAGTGTCACAAATATTTGACTGTAAAATCTAATTATTTCTCAAAGGCACCTGCACTAGTCTATAAGTACAACTGAATGGTATATTATTTTGCTGATAGATTTAATTATATTTCGTTGCCCACAAACACTTGTTGATAATCGAAATTGTATCAAATTGATACATGATTGTGTTAATAATAAGTTAAGGTATACTTTGCACTTCAGTGGCATGTGATTTTACTGGTAAATTAAACTGAACTTCATGACATAAACTTTTTGGTTTTCCAAATTGAAATATACTTTACTGACTCACAGACTTTTCGGTAAGAAATTACGACCAAGACAGGTTTAACCATATGACATATTGGACAACTGGCTATGAGCCGACATTGGTTATATTTCTATTTTTTAACAGCCTTCTCAGATACCTTTTAAAGTTGAAAAGTGTAGCATTTTAAAAGCATTATACTTGGTAAAATATTATCTTGATGAGTAGAATTTCAATGCAAAAAATGAAGGCCTTTGGAAAAAGAGGGATACATAGAACTGAAGTATCCTGAGTGCTCACCGTGGTCTTAATTCGGCCTTGATTACGCCATGACAAAACCATAATATAAATTGTAACAATAATTGAACAAAGAGTTGAAAAAACACTCAGTTTATCACTACATAATTTTTAATACTAATTATTAACAGTTATATAATAGAAATATATAATTAAAGGTTTTTCCGGCGAATTTAATTAACGTGTAGTAAGTTTTTGCATTTCCTTACTTAATTATATTCCTAATTAAATATAAGCCATTCAAAACTTATAAAAGTAATGAGAATTTTATTAAAAGTCGAAACGACTCTTAAAGAAAAACTGATTATGTCAGGGTTGACATGTCCGTGTATTTTCCACGGATTTGGGCTTGTTTTTGATTACAGTCGCTTTTATATTTGCTGTTATTTAACGTTACTATAGAGTTTTAGCAGAATTATGTTGTTTAACGATGGTTGGCGAGAGTTGATATAGAAACCATTGCGCTATATGTTTTGGTTTACTAATGTGTAAGGCATCGTGATTTACACATTGATTAGTAAGCCGAAACGTGTAGGGCTACTTTTTATTTGAATGTTATTCTGATTCTTAATAAATTCGTGCGCTTTTTAAAATGACGTATAAGTTATACTTCATATCTTTGAATTCAGTAAAGTTTAATTATTCTTAATTTTGTTTTTACTAGTTAAACTAGAAACGTAAATATTTCACACAATTTACATTATATTACTAGGGTAATTTTTGTAAGGAGATTTGATGCTTAATAGCGTTACTGGTTTCATATCATTAAGTGTCTTCACACATTACACACCAAAGCTAGTATACGCCATAAATGAACAGTTCCTAGGCTATAGTGTTACAACAACGTTGTCTGTTTAATATGAAGTGTAATGCTCTGGACATTTTAGAACGTTGCAGTTAAATATAGAAGACAACACGTTATAAAAACCGACATTTAATAATAATAATATAGAAGTATAACGGGCACCAAAAAAACTCAAGTTATAATTATTTCAATGATGCAACAACAGTTTGGTTTTACCTAAACCGACAAAACTCAAACAGACTAATTTGAAAAATTCGTAAATTGGGCTTCCCTAATAATTTTTTTTTCCAGTAATGGTTTAGCTCAAGAATAAAGTTTATTCATAGATTATTGCTATTCTTAAAAAATCTACCTTTTCCAATTATTATTAAAACATGGATTTATACGAGATACACTTTTCGATAGGTTAGATAGAAAAACAAACAAGTAAAATTATGAAAGTGTCAAAAATAAGGATCGAAACGTACTTACCGAATATCAACAGCTTTCACAAGAACTAAGAAATGTATAGGTTAAAACACCTTTCTTGGTTAAAATCACAGGATAACTAAACAGAGTGGGTGAAAACGTAAAACAATTTCACTATTAGGTAGTATAAACCCGTTTAACTATCATATTCCTTTCAAGAAAATGAATGTTGCCATTATTCAGCCGCAGCTGACATAACGGCTCACAGTAGCAAGCGGGTGACTCTAGTCACGGAATCCAACGCCTGACAAGTGACAGTTGCAGCGCCATAAACCAACTTCATACCACTCTTGCATGCAGTCGTACAGCTAGCAGCCACTTTCTACATAAACCCACACAGATGTGTTAGAAGCCTCTCATGGGCGCACGCGAGCTCAAGCCGACTCGCCTATCCCTGCTCGTGTAGAATGATTCCTGCTCGAGGCCCTGGCGTTGTTTGCCAGGATTGAGAGTGCGCAGCATTCGACTGTACGTTATGCAGCGCCTGATGTGTGCGTGCAGACGAACGTAATCCCCGGGTTACCAGTTAATGTCGTCCATGTCGCTCTATCTTTCTAACAGTTCTCTTATTCCTTTATTAAATTGAATACAAAAAAAACAACAAAAACATTTGATAAACTCGAAGATCAATATATATTTTAAAGTATTTAAAAAGTCTGGCTTGAGCTGGTTTTTCCCAGTGTAATTAATTATGTTTTTCCAATCCACCATGTTATATTTACGTCATGGAAATATTTCAACGCACATTCTTCCATTTCTTAAAGGCATAAAATCCTAGGAAATGCTCCATAAGACCAACTACTCTCATTAACTAAAAATGAAAAAAAAAATGACATTTTTCACAGTGTTGTAACTGTGGCTTATATTGACGATGTTTGTCTGATACATCTATTACCTTTCGAGAACACTGTTCTTTCTGCACTTGATGAATTCTCTATTCTTTCTGAACTTAAAGGTATATAGTATCTGAAGAACTATTGAATTTTAAGTACCCAAACCTAAGATATAAATAAGACTTAAAGCAAATAATTTGGAAATCTGAAATATTTCAAACTGTTTTTGATTGCCGTCACCGTTAATTACATCAGAATTTTTTATTTGGTTTGGTTAGTACCAAATAGATAGCACTTATTTGAGAAGATTGAGCAGATCGATAATTTATTTTTAGGGTTTAAATAATGTAATACAGTACCTTGAAAACAATTGTACTTTGTTACTAAAATCTAGGGATTACGGCTAATTTCGTATAGAAAATAGAGTATTCAAAAAGATTTAATATTATGGAAGAAATTGGTTGGTGTTGTGGAGGAATAGGTGTTACAGAGAATTAAGCATAATGTACTGAGTATTATAGTATAGAGTTTTAGAAGATTAGGTTTAGTGTCATCGTGCATCAGGAGAGCGCCTAGAAGATTAGGTTTGGTGTCTTGGAGCATTATAATAGTGTCTTAGAGGATTAGGTTTAGTGTCTTAGAGCATTAGGACGGCGTTTTAGAGGATTAGGATAGTGCCTTATAGCAGTATGATATCGTTTAGAAGGTAAGAATGAGAATCATAGAGGCTTAGGATAAAATGTCCCATTGTCATAAAGGAAATCAAATAATCAACACCACCCACTGCCAACTCTTGAAGTACTCTAATAGAATAGTGGGATTTAACCGACACTCTTATAATGCACCCATGGCGTCAAATTGTAGAGCACGATTTCTTTTTTGATGGTAACGGGACGTGAACCACGGAGCTTCAGATCCACAGTTTGACACACTAACCACTGAGTCGTGTTCGGACCCAATAGAGGGGGAAAAACTGTTTACATAGAGTGTTTAGTGATAAGAAGGATCACGTTTCATCAAATATATTATAGCTTAGTATCGTATAGAATGAGTATGCCAGTCGATCAAAATATAATAGCTTGTATAAGTTCTGGGTTTCTCAAGTAATGTTTAAGTAGGTAATATTCTATGGTACATAACAGTCACCATTTTATTTCTGGTTTCGCTAAGGCCCATGTCATCAGGTGAACACTTTTTACATAACTTGTATTGGTACTTCTTAACCTACTCAAAACAAAATGAAATATAATCACTTAGAGAATATGAAAAAGTATTTTTTTTTCCTCTTAAACACAAAGCCTCAAAAACTTCTATTTTCTCAAATGTTGTTACTGCTTCAAATAATACTTATAGAAATTTGTTTTATCTATGAACATTATATCGAAATCTGGGACAATTATGTTTTTCACTGGAAAAAAATCACACATTTGAAATAATTGAAAATATCATTATGGCGCATTTTTTTCGCCAATTTCAAATATTTAAGAATATTTTGCTTTTTATCTAAAGTTAGGCAATATTTAGAAACAAACTGGTTAACAGCTTAAAAATGCAAATCATACTTTTTTTATTTTCTCACCGATGCACTAATTATTCTATTATTGCTCCTCGTCAGACTGCAGAAACAACATCATCAGGTTCCTTGAGAAACGTAAAGATGGTCAATTGAAATTATTGTGTGGCTTGTTCCCAAACACAGTTTGATTCTGTAAGATGATACTGAAAATTAATGAATAATGTGGTATGGACGTGAGAGTTGAGTTTCATTTGTAGGTTACGACTTCCCGGGGGAGTTGAGATACAACAAAGGCTGGTTTACTTTACTTAGCAGAACCATGTTTCATTCTCCTACAGCTTTTTTGGCAAGCTGAAATTTAAGAACTCATTAAGAATAATAAAAATTAAGATGTTAATTAAATTATTGCAAATATAAGTTAGAATAATATGTCGAAATATTGTATTACATATTTAAGAAACTAGGTAATTGAAGGTGGTATATTTCAGTATTTATGATTAAACCATCTGATTTTTGTTTCGTAATTAGTTCTAAGGTGAGACATTGTACGATTAAATGTTGATTTAGAAAAAATAAACACAAAAAATCTACAATTTCCCATAGTTCAACTGAGTCAATAACATGAATGAACAAAGATGCTTATTGCTTACATGAAGTAATGAAAAACTAAAATACTAATGTAGTATAAAAAACTCATTAATACAATAAAAAAATCAACTATTCTAATGTAATGAAAAATATACAGGTACTCTAATATAATGGAAGAAACAGCGGGTACTTTAACAAAATAAAAAACAAGTACTCTAATATAATAAAAAAATAAGTACTCTAATATTATGAAAAACAAATACTTTAATATAATGAAAAAAACAGGTACTAACGAAAAAAAGTTATTTTAATATAATGAAAGAAAACCAAGTACTTTAGTATAAGGAAAAAATAGGTGCTCTAATATAATGAAAATAATAACAATTTTTTTACAATTCTTAACAAACAGGTTCAGAAACACAATGAAAAAAGAAAGAAATTCATTATGCAATGAATAAGACAAACATTTGGGTTCATTAATGTAATGAAAAACAAATAGACAAAATAATAATAGGAAAAGCAATCAGATTCACTAATGAAAATTAAACAGGTTTACAAATGTACTGAAGAATAAGCAGATGCACTTTATAATAAAAAACAGCAGATGAACATTAGAAAAGAATGAAACTCCTAATGTAATGAAAAAATAGATTTAATGCATCATGAATGAATAAATCAAAATTACTTATGTCATAGGAGAAAAAATAGCTTACTAATGAAATGTGAAACATGGCACTCTAATACAATGGGGAAAGAAACACACTCACTCATCTTAAGAATAATAAGAATGGAAAAAACAACAAATGGATGCAATAACAAATATAGACTCACTGATGAAGTGAAAAACAAACCAAGAACATGTCAATTAATAGAATAGAAAACAAACAGACTGGCTAATGTACAGATAAACAGATTTGCTAATGTAATGAAATCAAATTAACTAAGAACAATGAAATAGAAATAAAGCAATAAAAACAGACTTACAAACAATACAAAATAAACAAGAATTATTATAATGAAAAACAAACCAAGAACATGTCAACCAATAGAGTAGAAAACAAACAGACTGGCTAATGTACCGATAAACAGATTTGCTAATGTAATGAAATCAAATTCACTAAGAACGATGAAATAGAAATAAAGTAATAAAAACAGACTTACAAACAATACAAAATAAACAAGAATTATTATAATGAAAAACAAACCAAGAACATGTTAATTAATAGAATAGAAAACCAACAGACTGGCTAATGTACCGATAAACAGATTTGCTAATGTAATGAAATCAAATTCACTAAGAACAATGAAATAGAAATAAAGTAATAAAAACAGACTTACAAACAATACAAAATAAACAAGAATTATTATAATGAAAAACAAACCAAGAACATGTCAATTAACAGAATAGAAAACAAACAGACTGGCTACTGTACCGATAAACAGATTTGCTAATGTAATGAAATCAAATTCAAAGAATTGTAAAGCACGTTTTTGTGGCAACGGGCTTCGAACATTAAATCTATGAATTTATAGTCTGAGCTCTCTAACAACGTAGTTATGATAAACTACGACAAACGAATAGATTTACTAACGTAACGAACAGACAAATAGATTAATTATTTAAAGAAAAACTGATTTTGTCATTTAACAAAAAATAACCAGGTTCACTTATGTAATGATAAACAGATTTTATTGAGTAATAAGCAAAAATTCATTGTTGTAATGAAAACACAAAAAAATTCCATAATAAGATGAAAAATTAAAAGCTTCACTATTGTAACGAAAATCAAAGAGACTCACTAATGTGACGAATATTAGACTTTCTAAAGTGGGAAAATAAAAAACAAACTCTCAAGGGTAATTAAAACAAAAGCCCAGATAGCCAATAATATAATAACAAATGTATACTGATATAATAAAAAACATATATTACTATAAGAAAAAAATATATACTAATCTAATAAAAAACACCCACGAAATTAAAAACCAAAAGATTCAAAACTGTAATTTTGTGACAAACAGACTCATTAACAGAGTAAAAACAACAGATTCACAAGTTTAACGAAATAAATGCTGCTGCGATAAAAACTGGTTAACCAATACGGTGATAAACAAAATGACTGACTAATACAGTGAACAGTAAACAAATTATTTAACGTAATAAATGCTGCTGCGATAAAAACAGGTTAACCAATACGGTGATAAACAAAATGATTCACTAATACAGTGAACAGTAAACAAATTATTTAACGTAATAAAAGCGAAATAGATAGATTAATATATGAGAAATAGAATGACTCACTGATGGAATGAAAACAGCTTAATTAAGTAATAAAAAAGAAATAGATTATTCAAATAATGAGAAAGGAATATATTAAATAACGAAATGGAAGAATTGAGTAATGTAATTAATGACAAACACATTCAATAACATAAAGCGTATTTATATTAATTATGTAACGAATAAAAGAAAGAGATTCACT